GGTTTTTTTGGTAAAAAACAGTTGTGGAGTGGTAGAGGCTGCTTAACCCTTTCTTTGCCCACTGATTGGCTTATGCTCCAGGTTTTTTTTCCCTTTGCATTTTTTAAAAAATAATTTTTATTAAAAGATGTTATATGAATAATAAGAAATACATTCAAAGAAAGAAAAAAAGAAAAAAAAGCAAAGTAAGTGTAAAAAAGAAAAAAAAGAAGAAAGGAGAAAAAACAGAGAGAAAAGATAGAAAAAAGAAGAAAATAAGACAGAAAGCATGAAGAAAATAAATATAAATATGGCTTCCAATATCCCTTTCGGCAGTTATACATACTATTCTAATCAAACCACTCTTTCCAATTTCATCATATTTCCCTTCTTTCTATAATCTATTATTTCTAACTGTCAAAACTATAAATCACAAAATCAATTTCTTTCTCACTCAAAAAGTCCATAAGGGCTTTTCAGTCATTGATGAATGCTAGTAATGACCTTTCTCTAATCAAAGAAGTCAATTTGTCTATCTCAACAAGTTCTGTCAATTTCACCAAGCATTTCTCCATAGTGGGTAATGCCGAATCTTCCCATTTCTTTCCCATGATTACTTCCCACAGTAATCATATATTGAAATAATCCTCCAGGGCTCTTTTCTAACTGTTTATCCATCAATCCTAAAAAGAAAAGTTCTGACTTCAATTGAATATTAATCTTTAAAATCCTCTGTATCAATGTGCCTTTTTACATATCCACCAAGCATGATAAAATGTCCCTTCATGTTCACATTTCCAACATACATTTGAAATGCTTTTATACATTCTAAACAATTTCTCTGGTGTCATGTACCAATGATACATCATTTTTCCTTTGCCATTTTTATATCAGTTTTCCTTTGCTGTGGTTTGACCAGAGAAGTAACTGTGGGAGTACAGTTGTTTTATGCAGCAGAATATGCATGCTGAGAGAAATAAAAGTGATAGAGAAATTGCTGGAGAGGGCATGTAAGGGAGCTCAAGGAAGGGAATCCCTACAGTATTGTTGACTATACAGGTATCTGTTGGCTGTAGTGGCCAATAGAATGAGAAGGTATGCCAGGCAGTGCACCCAGAAGGGGATCACCCAGCATTATCTTGTCATATAATTGCTGTTCTGCTTTCTCCTCTCTCTACCCAAACAAGATTTGAGTATGTGTATTTTGTAGGAATGATATATAGTTCTGTTGCTATTCCATGTTTGAGACATAGAGTTTGTAATATGAGTGTGTATCTTTGTTACATAGGACTGAAAATTATCATTCCCTGGGGTGGAGAGATGATGTGTATGCCATGGAACAGCAATAGTTGTTCCAGATTCAGAGTACTTTGTGAGAAGTAATTACTTTTTAATAAGATTTGCACTGTTGAAATCATCCATTTCTGGAACTTGAGTGAATATTAATTGTTAGATAAGTTAGGTAAAATTATATTATCTTGAGAATAATCCCAAACTTCTGGTTTTATTGCCCCTTGGTCTCTTGCATTATACACTTTGTTTATTATTAAATTTTATATTGCCAACTATTGTAGCTTCAAGACCATTTACAATAAAAATGTATTGTACCAGAGCCAGGGAAGGGGAGCAATTATGAAATTAATTATTTTTATTTGGCTGTTTGTAAATTGAGTAATATCATTCGCAGAACATGTTATGGTTGCTGTGTTTAGGACCACTTTTTTGTTTTTTTAAGAAGCAAAGTAAGTTGGTAATGATTGAATAGAATTATTATGTTCATGCATAAATGTCCCTATCTTTAGAATTTGCTATAGCAATAGATATGATAATTACCTACTGCACCATACTCATAACTTTCCCATTTTTTAAATACCTAAATCAGGTTTTAATTCAGTACGTGTGTTCATTTTCAGGGATTATTGTAAATGTGACATGCTTTTATTTTTATTATGTTTTAGAGCAAGTTTTTATAGCAACCCTTAATTTAATGCCTGTAAATATCCAGCTGTTAATTTTTATTCAGGGTCTAAATGCTGCTCTGTGCTGAGAGGCACAAAAGTTAGATTTGCATGATAGAAACTCTCAGAGTGACACTGTCAATCATGTGTTTGAATTTGAGTCAGATGTTCATATAGCCATAAGAAGTTTCCACTATGGTCTAGTATGCAGATGTAACTTTCCAGGCAAGTGGGTACATTTAAACATCTGTCATGGAAATCACACTTATATCATATAGTTTTGCATTGCAAATGTACATTGGAGTATATGAAAATATGACGTGTATTGCTGAAATCTAAAAAAATTAAGATGGAAGATTAGGGCTATGAGACCACTAGAAATGCAACAGTGTGAATGAAGCACTTTTCTTCAAAGGAGTCAAGCAGTTGTGTCCTTCGGGAGGCTTGCATGGTTGCTTCAGAAGCTGTCCCTGACTGTCTCTAAATGTGTGTCCCTGCACAACCACTTCGGTTTGCTGGGTCTCAGTGGAAGTGCTACTTGGGCAGGCACCTGCAGAGGAGCGTGGAGAGATTGTATCGCAGTCATGTGAGCTTTACAAAGGACGTGGCTTTTTTAACACCTTAGAAAGAGGTGCTTTGCTCATGTGAATGTGCTTTGTGAAGCACTTCTTTTGAACACTTCGTACACCCCACCAAAAATCAGTGTGATTGTCCTGAAACACAGCTTCAGACTCATGCATGGCCTCAAGAGTGATTTCTAGACAGATCAGGTGCCTGGGGCTAGTAAACATCCTCTCTTCTCCTCTCTTGTTTCAGTAATGGGATATTGCAGGAACACCCCATAGATTGACCTGTAAAATGCTTTGCTAAAATCATATCAGTAATTTAGAACATAGGACTCCCCTCCTCCTTCTTTCAGTTTCTTCCCCCATTCAACAATATAATGATTGTCCTACATCTGAGTTGCTCTTGAGTATAGATAATATTTGAGGTTACCTTTAAATTCCAGCTCTTCTTCTACACTGATATCAGTAAGTAGAACAAGAGCCAGAATTTAGTGTCAAATTAGATACTGAGGCATAGTGGTATTCAGTTCTTTCCTAATTATCCAATAAAGAGGAGTCTTTTAAGTTTATTTTTAAAGTAAGTTGCTCTACTGTTTGTGAGAAGTCAGAGTTTCATTAAGTTTCATTTCTTTTGCAGGTGTATTTGTCAGACTTTGCATAAAAAAGTGTGCATTTTAGTGACTCACCAGTTGCAATATTTACAAGCTGCAAGCCAGATCTTAATTTTAAAAGAGGTTGGTGAAAATAAAAATACTCTTCAGAAAGTTGGCAGTGTTTTAGTTTGTTATCCATATTTCTAATATTTAAAGCTGAAGAATTATAAATATGCAGAATAGTGTGGTCAACCCTATAGTATTACAACTAATTTGCTTCCAAGGAAAGCATGAACCTTCTTTCATGGCGTACAAAACTATACAATTATATTACAGAAATAAAGAAATTAAAATGCCATTTTTGAGTGACAGGTCAGGGTTTTTAAAACCCTTAGGCAGAAATTAAAAGAAAGTAATGTAAATTATACCTGTTGAAGGTGCTCAGCTACAATTTTCAAATTAATTAATTCAGTATTCTTGGTGCTTCAATTTCCTATTGATATAATACCAAATTATTTTGCAAGTATTGCCATACATATACTATACTGTGCCCTTGTTTAGATTAGAATAAGCATGGGAAACCTATTTCAAGTAGACTTTGCTTTTTGAGTTCCAAGGGCTTATATTTCAGAAGGAGGCAGTTTCAAAGAATAGCCCAACTGAACCTAGACTGAATCAGAAGTGGCATGATTCAACTTGAGATGTGCATCTGAAGTGAGATTTGAGCTTCCTGCTAGCTAGCATGGGAAAAGTACATACTTTATTTTGACTTTACTGGTAGAGATTCTTCATTTTTAAAGGATAAGCTGAAATTTGCAGGTATATAAAACATTGAATGCTGAAGTCTCTTCAGTTTCAGGGAAATAGATGTAGGCACTTTGAATTTAGACTGTTTACATTCTGTGTCTGTAGTTTGCTTTTTTATTCAAAAATAATTGAATTACAGATAAAAATGCCAATAAAGTCAATAAAGATCTAACAGACACAATCCAATATCTTCTCTCAGTTCCTCTGTTCTATTGTCACACCTAAATAAATATTGTTATATTGCTTTGCAGTGTACCATTTATATTTGTATTGACAGAAGCAGTATAAAAACCTGTGAAATAAATAAAGTAAATAAATTAACTAGGAAAAGTACCCTGTTCACTATAACTATCTAAGAATAATTGCTAATCAAGAAATTATAATTATTCCAAATATCCTTATACAAACCAGATATAAGAAAGGACATTATGTATTAGTTAACTTAAGAAATATAAGTTTGTAAAGAAATTATTTTTGCCAATTAAAACTTTGCCATTAATGCAGTATGTTTCCAATAAGTAACAAACTATCCATCTGTTACCAATATCTAACAGCTGTCAACTTCGCTGCTATTAACACATGCCCTATTGATACTTTATTTTTCAATGAGGCATTCTGATCTATAAAGAAATTTGTAGTTAATGAAGATGATTTTATAACTGTTTGTGATAATTTCCTGAAAAATGTCATCCTAAAATAGGGCTACTGTATTTGCATTGCATTGTTGATCCATGTCTATTACCACCTTTCCAACATAAGGGATTTAATTCTATTATCAAATAAGCAATTGTCTATGGTGTGGTAGTTATTTATTTCCTTAATGTATTGCACACTCCCACCTATGAAAGGGAGGTCCATTAAAAATATGCATTATAGATTTATGTGGTTAGGATGGTATGAAGCTTTCAGATGGATCCGTTTTCAAAACCATATGATTTCTAGTTACCCATAAAATTTGCTATCAAATGTTGATACATTTGGAAACCTAGCTTTTAATAAAATAGAGCTTGCTGTCTTTGAATATAGTTAGATTACTAATTATATTACTAAGCAAATATTTCAGCTTGAGGTGGTCCCTAAAATCTTTCACGTTAGGCTTCTTTGTCACCTGCCTTTATTCTTCTCCCCACATTACTACATTGTACAGATGAACAAAAGTTGAATGTACTAAAAATACACCAGGTCTATCTTTATGGAGAGTGTGGGAAAGAAGAATGGATAGCAAAGCCTCCTGATGAGCCCATTGCAAGTCACGTACGTTTTAGGCCACAGACTCAGTCTGAAGCGGCCCAGTTTAACTTTAGATTCACCCAAATTTGAATCCTAGCTTTAGTCCTGGCTTACTATACATAAAGACTCTCTCCTTTTTTAAACGTTTTATAAATAGATTGCTATATTTCTCTCTGTGTTATTCAGAAAACATTGTAGAGGAGAAATGCTCTTTGTCAACTGGGAGGATTGGCAAGTAGGATAGTGATTTCTATCATATTATTAAAATTTGCCCACTGGCTTGTACTGTATGTCATTTGGGATTAGAGGAAAAAAGCCAGGAAATTAATAGTAACTGATATGACATCTGTTTTTACTGCTGCCTTAATGATAATAATTTAGTGGGTTGATTCAAGCATCAAGGTAAACCATGGTTTATTGCAAAGAGAATACTTCTACTCTTCCTCTTCCTACTTACAGCATAGCCAGAGAAGAACATGGAAAGTTTTACTTCTTGTTTTAGTTCTGCAATGAATTGCCAGTTATGGTTGCATCCAGACTCTAAAATTTGACAAATTTTAACTATGGTTTGTTGAAACAAGTTAGCTTCAGAGCCATGATTATGACATATATAGCTAAGATGTATTGTAATTAAGATGAAACATAATTAAGAACAACTCATGGTTATGAAGTGAACCAGATTTACAATGCTTAGCCAGTCATGGCTGATCCTGAAAGAGCTAAGTAAGGCTGTAGCCTAGACTGGGAAGTTGAAAAAATGTCCTGGAAGAAAGCAACAGCGAGCCACTTCTGTACTGTTTCTAAGGAAACAACATGGAGGTATGGCTCTGCAGTCACCAACAGCTTTATCTTTACCTTGTTAGTTCAACTCAAAAGTTTGTTGGCTTTTTTGTTTTTTGTTTTGTTAATATGAACCATAGTTAAAAATGATCATGTTGGGATTAGAGAAGTACCTGTAGATAAGTTGCAGTTAATTAAAACTAGAAGGATATGTTTCCATCTCCTCATCAGTGTCCTGGAGGAGGAGAAAAGTATGAAGGGAATGTATCAGTATTGCTGTATTTCTCATTCCTAGCATGAGAAATCATGGTTGGGACTTTCAGACTGGTCTATTACTTAGACAACTGCTTATTTAACTTAGAGAGCCAATACTGTATATCAATTAAGGTGTTGGTCTAGCACCAGAGAGATCCAGGTTCAGGTTCCCTCTTAACTACAGAAGCTCATTGGGTGAGTCACTCTCTCTTAGCCACACCTGGTTGACAGAAATGATGCTGTGAAGGAAAAAAAAGAGAGAACACTGTATACTTCGCCTTAAGCTTTTGCATGAAAGACAGGATATAAGTTTAACAAATAAATAAATGAATAATAACTCACTGCATCAAGAAAACTCAAGGAAATAAAACACATTGATGTCCTAATTAATTTTTAACAAATATTATATTTTTCGGTATGAAATGTCTATGGTACTTTACTATTAATCATTGGTAGCCAAAATGTTTTGGATCCACGTTTTAGTCTCCACCCACTGAAGGATGCCTTCTGTCCATGAAAGGCTTGTGGTTAGTATAGAGGTACAACTGATGAAAACCTCTTATGTGAATGGAAGAGAGAGTTTGGTTTATTCATCCACCTCTCTGTAGATCCCGCACTTCCTTGAAATGTTTCTTAATTATCAAAAGCAGGTTACTGGGAAGCATAAGTAGCTGCAGAGAAGGGGGGGGGGGACATTTGCTAAAAGATTCTTCCTCCTTTTGGTGGAAGTGGAGCCTGGATTGAAGCTGACAATTATCCAAAAAATTACTACTGTGATTTGCTATTTTACAGCCATTCTGCACATTATAATCTCTATGTATTTTATTTCTAGGGTAAGGAGGTAGGGAAAGGTACTTTCTCAGACTTCCTTAAATCTGGAATAGATTTTGCTTCCCTTTTGAAAAAAGCTGAGGATGATGATCAATCATCAGCTCCAGGAACACCCAGCCACCAGTTGTCTAGGATTCGTACATTTTCTCAGTCCTCCATGTGGTCAATGGAGTCTTCAGTTCAGTCACAGAAAGATGGAACTGCTGGATCTCCATCTGTGAGTAAATGATACAACTATGAAACAATCTTTGAAATAGAATAGTGTGTTCATGGTACAATTTGTGGGTGTAATAAACTATTGCTTATTTATGTCAAAATGTGCAAGTTTAAGTATCATATTCCATAGTCCTGTGAAACATTTTCCATTGGTGTAAACATCATTGCTGTTTACACCATGGCAAAGAGCATTTGCCATGGTGTAAATAGCCATTCATAGCAAAGAACGTTTATAAGTATAAATTTTAATTTACAGTAGTTTAATTAGCTAACACTAAATTTCATGTTAAAGAATAAAGAATGAGAAGAATGAATGGAAACTATGAATGAATTGCCTTTTCGTAATAAGTTGAACATCTTCTGAACTATACCAGACTTAACATTTTGGGACAGCATTTGTAATATGCATAAATATGTGGTATTTTTTTTTACATAGTCAAAAATGATGTAAAAGAATCAAGTAAAATTATGTAATTGACAGCCCACATCAAAGGTTGATTTTTTAAATTAATCTACACTGTGTGCACAATTATTAGGCAAGTGAGTATTTTGACCATATCATCATTTTTATG